GGGGGGGGGGGGAGTCCATTCTTTTCAACATCAGCCCTTCCATACTTCTTCATCTACCCAAGAAAAATCCAACTAAACACCTAAACAAGGACACTGCTAGAAGAATCCCCTGTCCCCCACGGTCTCTTCTTGTCAGCACTCTGCTGGGCAAAGAAGCACAAAACTTCAAAGCCCAGAGGGCCCACCTAGCCCCTGATCCTGTGTGCAATCCACCCCCCCCCCCCACGACCCCAGGGGCCCCGGGAACCCAGGCCTTACCTGCAGCTTTCCTGGAAACGGCACTTCCCCTCCAGGAAGAACGGGCAAGGCTTCAGGGACTTGTGAGTGGGGTAGAGATAGAGTACGCGCACGCCCGGAGAGCCATCATCCATCTCCTCGGTGCCCACGATCATGGCGTTGTGATACTCCAGGGTGCCCCAGGTACTGTAGTAGGGGGCGTTCACCTTCCTCCCACTCAGCTCTGCCCCGTCCTCGTCCTCCCCATCGTCCTCCTCCCGCCCAGGCTCCGTGGGTCCTGGCCCGGTCTCTCTCATAGGAACAGTCTCCAATTCTGCCTCGGGGGCTACTGGCACCTCCACTGCCTCAGCAATGGCCTCCTGGAAAGCCAAGTACTCAGCATCCTCCTGGGCTGGGCGCTCTCCATCCAGCGCCGCCAGCAGCTTGCTCTTCCTGACGGACACCAGGCTGGCCTCAGTGAGCTCGATCAGCTCCTTCAGGTCCCCCTGCAGCTGGCGCAGATCTGCCAGCTCCGAGGGATCCAGGCCAGTGCCCAGAGCCAGCTCCACCTGCTGCAGCTGCGCGTCGTAGGTCCGGAGGGCGGTCTGCAGGCTCTCCTCGTCCATCCTGCCGGGAGGGGCCGGGTTCCTGGGTCCTCAGAGGGGAGGCGTGGGAGCCAGAGATGCGAGGAAGAGAAGCCGGATGAACCCGGGACCGGCCGTCCCCGCGAGGCTAGTACTGAGCGCTGGCCAACCGCCGCCCTCGGCGGACAGCCTGCGGAACCGTCAACCGCCCTGCCTCCCGTTTGGGCCGAGAGAAGTTTCCACCTCCGAGAATAAGAGCCAGAGCCAGCCCTTGGCCGCTGGCCCCACGGCCTCCGCTCCCTTCCCGGGAGCTGCCGTCAAGTTCCTCCGGGGTATCTGCGTCCCAGCCCGATGCCCCCGGCCGGGCCCACCCCCCGGGCCCCGCGCCGCCCGCCCCCGCTCGGCCTGCCACCAAGGGCCCAGGCCCAGTCGCCCAGACCCCCTCGCCTCCGGCCCTCCTCTGCGCAGTCTCCCGGCCGCCGCCACAGACGGCCTCCCGGCCTCACCGGCCAAAGACGCCCCACGCCCGCTTCCGCCCCCGCAACCGACAGGCACTTCCGCCCGAGCGCCGCCGCCGCCGCCGGAAGTGCCTGGCGCGGGGGCCGCCGGGACGGCTCCGCCCCTCCCCGGGTGGCCAGCCGGCGTCCCGTCGGGCGCCACGCGGGGTCAGCGCGGGGTCAGCGTGGGGTCAGAGGGCCAGGCGCGCTGCGGTTCCGCCGGCTCTTCGGCTCCCCGGCTCCGCGGCCCGGCCGGGCGGGCGCAAGTAAGTCGAGTAGGGCGAGCGGAGCTGGGCCCGGGCCCGGCGGCCGGTCCGCAGTCTGTCCCCGCCGCCCTCCACCCGCACCCATGCGCCCCGCCTCTGAGAGGCGCCCGCGGCGGGCCGGGTGCGAGGCGGGCGGCTCGCGGGGAGACCCGAGCGGAGCGAAGCCCGAGGGGAGCCCGGGCTGGGGAGCGAGGGCCGCGCTCGGGGTGAAGCGGGGCGGGACGGGCCGCCTTTTGCCTGCGAGCGGAGCGCCCTGGCCGGGCCGGGAGTGGGAGCGAGGGCGCCGGGAGCTCCGGGCCAAGGCGGGAGCAGTTGCGGAGGCGAAGGCGGCGGCGGCAGTGCCGGGCTGAGGGGAGGCGGGTCAGGAGGAGCCCAGCTCAGGGCTCCAGCTCTGAGCGGTCAAGCGGGCAGACAGACCCTCTGCCCGTTGAGGGGCGCTGGGGAGGCGTGGTGCGGGCCGGTTCGCCCGTGACCGATCTCGGGTTCCCAGGGCAGGATGTACACGCTGCTGTCAGGCCTGTACAAGTACATGTTCCAGAAGGATGAGTACTGCATTCTGATCTTGGGTCTGGACAACGCCGGGAAGACGGTACGTGCGGTCCCGTGTCAACACCCCTACTCCCCCGCTGCCCCATGGTCCTGTTGGTTTTATGCTTTTAGCTGCATGTTCGGTACCCATACAGGATCCGAACTCCGCTTAAGACCATGGGACAGTTACCGCTAGCTGCTTTAAAAGCAAAACGTTGTTTTGTTTTGTTTCAGTTTAGAGGAATAGGCCCAAGTAGGGGTATTTGTGAAGCAGCCATGAGAAGTCTCCCAGTTCTCACGTCACCCCTCTTTCTGTCTCTCCCTTTAGACCTTCTTGGAGCAGTCAAAGACCCGGTTCAACAAGAACTACAAGGGGATGAGTCTGTCCAAAATCACTACCACTGTGGGCCTAAACAGTAAGGAGGTCCTTTACGGCTGTGGGTTTGGGGGGCAGAACCCTGAGGATGCTGCAGTGTACGGAGGCCGAGGGTGAGGCCACTGCTCCGGCTCCCACTGGCCCCAGCATCGCGGAGCGCGGGCACCGCCTGGTCCTCCCGAGAGGGCTGGGAGCCCGTGTGTCAGGGACCAAGGCCACAGCCTCACCTGTCTCCTTTTCTTCCCAGTCGGCACTGTGGACTTTGGAAAGGCCCGCCTCATGTTCTGGGACTTAGGGGGGCAGGAGGAGCTGCAGTCTCTGTGGGACAAGGTAAGGTGGGCGGATGCCACATCGACTCCCTGGCCTGCCTGTCGTGCCATCTCTCTAGTTGGCACCGTGGTCTCTTCCTGCCTTTCCTCAGAAGGCCTGGGACTCCCCTTCTTTTCTTCCTGTTGGCGGCTTCCGTCACCCACTTGGTTCCTGAGGCTCGCCTCCATCCCAGTTCCCAAGTCACTCCCCCCAAGAGCAGAGACAAACTCGGTTCCTTTTGGCTTAGAGATTTTGTTGCTGATCAGAATGGGACGAGATGAAGAATGGTCGAGGAGCAGACCTGGGGGAGACGCAACGCCTGTTTGGTGCTCAGGTGCAGCACCGGGGCCTGAGTCTCCCCTACTGGGTCCTCCCTCAGTCCTAGCTTAGGGCCTGTCCTCCATGGTGGCCCCTTCCCCATCAGGGGAGGGTGTCCTCCACGGCCCACAGCACGTGTGTCCTCTTTCGAGGTAGGTTTGAAGCGTTTCTGAGACCTCGAGACTGGAGTCGGTGTTCAGCTCAGCCTGTGCCAGGCACCGGGGTCCAGCAGAGAACAGGGCAGGACAAGCCTCTTCCCTCAGCCCCCTCCCAATGGATTGACGTGGCGGCTTTGGTACAGCCTAGTGCCAGGGGCACTCTGACAAGCTCAGACAAGCTCACCCTGATTCTGGGGGCAAATGTGCCCATCCCAGCACTTGCCGGTGGCTCGCATGCCCTGGTCTTGATTTCTGGTTTGACCCCAGCAGCACGTACCTGGTCACTTTTTCCTTTTTCCTCCCAAAGTGTCTTCCTCGTCCTGACCTCCAGCCAAGAGGACAGGTTCCATCCTGCGGCCAGAAGGTCACTGACAGACCTCCTGTGGCCATTTAAGTTGGACCAAGGCAGACCCAAGCTAGGGGCTGTCTGTGCAAACTCTAGACTCACGCGGGGAGTGTGAGACAGGTCCTGATATTCTGTCATAGACAAGGGTCTCGGGGGCAGATGCTGCGGCAGAGGTTGGGGTGCAAGTGTATGGGGGGGGATGCAGGCCTGGGCAGGGGTGGGGTCATCTCAGATGCTGCCCCATGTCGGGCCAAGCTGGCTGGGACTCCATCCCTGTGGCAGGTCACCACAGTGGGCTGCCCTGGGCGGCTGTGACATGGTCAGATGGCTCTTTATGGGTCAGAATGGGTCTTGCAGGAGCCAACAAGGGGATCTGCACTGGGTGCACTGCTTGTCACGGCAGCCAGGCCACGGCCGGTGACAGGTGCACCTGCACACACACGCCTCTGGTTGGGGACTGGCTTCTCCTGAGGGGAAACTGGGTTGGTCGTGCCCCCTCATCCCCCCACCAGCTTCCACGTCTGTTGGTGGCGTGGCCTCGTTGCCTCACCACGAGGGGCTGAGCCCCGATCGCTGAGCCTGCCGTCTCGGAGGGACCCTGGGCTGCTCGCGTGCTCTGTGACTCAGGTGGAGTGGGTGCCCTGCCGCCTGCCTACGGCGTCAGGTGCTCCTGCCAGGGTGGGCACCCTGCTGGCCCCTGTGAGCAGGTAGCATGGAGGTGACCACACCCCTAACCCCAGCTCTGAGTCACCAGGAGGGGTGGAAAATGGGGCTTCTGCTCCCGCTCTGGATCTGAGCCGCTGTCGTGGGGCCTGCCCCCCACCCCCGTGCCATCCGGCACGGTCCGGCGGGTCTTCACTCGCGTGTCCACTACTGTCCGTCCACCCACACCTCCGCTCGTGCCGCACACTGCTGCCCACGGGTCTGTGCGCATGCCAGCCTCAGGCCAGGTCTGTGGACCAAGCAGACCCCCTGGCGCCCTGCCACAGGGGTGACTTCTGGCCTCTGTCCCTCCAGGCCACAGCCGAGAGCCCTCCAGCGCGAGGCCACAGGTGACACCACCATCAGGGTCTGGGCACGGCGGTTGCCGCGGGCTCAGGGCAGCCCCTTGCCCTCCAGGTTGGGCTCACGCTAAGCCCCAGGGGTGCCGCCCCTATCCCTGCCGCTGCTGCCTGGCCGTCACGCGATGCCCGAGGGCGTGGCGGTGGACCTGGGCCCGTCTGCCGGGGCCCGGTTGCACATGGGTTGAAGTCCCCTGCCACCACGGGGGCCCCAGGGGCAGAGCAGTGATTCCCTCACTGACTCACTGCAAACCCCACGCTGTCCCCTCCTGCCTCGGAGGCCTCCACGGTTGGGCCGCAGCTCCTGGCCCTGCGTCACCCAGCAGGCTGGCCAGAGAGGCCCCAGGTGTAGGACATGTGGTCTGCAGACCCAGAGGCCACCCGTGTCAGGCTTCCTTCTCTGTAGCGAGTGCAGGTACAAAGGCTTGACTTGTACTGGGGGGGCGGGGACAAGTTGGCGTCATGCCCTGTGGGACATGTGCGTGTTCCCGGTTCTTGGGATCACGCTGGGCAGGAGCTGGAGTGTGCGTGGGGGCGTCACCCGCTCCGCCAGTGTGGGCATTTCTGTACTCTTTTCTGAGTGGAACAAAAAGCTGACTTGCCAGGCCCGTTTCGTGTGTCTGTCCTTTCCCAGGGGTGCTGCCGTTCACCCCCCATAGCTCTCCCCATACCCCGGGCTCTGGTGGTTTTAAGTGTCGGGGTGGCTCCTGTGTGGCCGCTGCTGGGAGGGAACCCAGGGCCAGCCACCCTCCCGGCCCCGGTCCAGCCTGCAGAGCTCCGAGCTCGCTGGCGCTGGCTCAGGTGTTGGTTCTGTCCCGCGCAGGGGGCAGAGCTGCTGTGAATGTTCCGGACTCGCCCCTCGGCGGGCTTTCCGTGGCTTCCCGACGGCAAGCCGCCGCTGCCCCCACCCCCAGGCCTGCTGAGACCCCAAGCCCCAGCCTTCCTCCTCCGGCTGCCGTCAGGCCAGCAGGTGTGGGTGGGTCCTAAGAGCGGAGGCTGAAGCGGTGTTCGGAGCACAGCACCCGGCAAGTGGGTGAGGGAGGTGGCCACCCCGGCCCGGGGGGTCTGGGGCGCCTCTCCACTCTGCCCTCCCTCCCCACCCCCAGGAAGCACCCCAGAAGGGTCTTCCAGCTGGGGGCTGCCTCAAGGTGGCCGGGTGCCCGCGGCTCAGCACCCCGTTCTGCTCCCGCCCAGTACTACGCGGAGTGCCACGGCGTCATCTACGTCATCGACTCCACAGATGAGGAGCGGCTGTCCGAGTCCAAGCGAGCATTCGGTGTGTGCGGCTGGCCAGGCTGCCTCCAGAGCTGGGCTGGGTGGGGGAGGGGGAGGGCGCCAGGTCAGGAGGGCCCCGCTGAGTGCGTCCACGCCTCTAGGGGGTCCGTGAGGGCCTGGGGACCTCTGGGCAGAGGCGGACAAAGGGCGCTCACTGCCTCCTCTCTGCTCGCCCCAGAGAAGATGGTCACAAGCGAGGCGCTGGACGGTGTCCCCATCCTGGTGCTGGCCAACAAGCAGGACATTGAGGTGAGCCCCTGGGCCCAGTGGGCCCCACTCCCGGGGGACAGGGCGCCTCTCCCAGGGGAGGGCTGCTGCCTTCCTCAGACACCAGGGCATGGCTGCCCTGGGGGCAGATCCCCCCCGCCAGGCTTCTGGCCGCAGTGCTGCCAGTGGGAGCCTCCTGCTGGGCAGACCCAGGTGAAAGAAAGCTCTGGAAAGAAGATGCAGAGGGACCAGGGTGGGAGTCAGCCCTGACCCCGACCTGTCTGCTGCCCTTGAGCACAGCAGCTGTGCTGGCCTCATCCCCTGGGACCACTGACCACTGGTGGTGCAGAGCCATCCGCGTGGAGGGGGCCCTGAGCACTGCTTCCCTGTAGACCTTCCCTGACACCTGCTCCCCTGAGGTGGCTCGCCAGGCAGGACCCCTCCTGGACGGAGTAGCCCCGGGGTGCCCCCTGCAGCTCTAGGAGCTGCCCTGGGGCCGGGCCTGAGCCTGATCCTCGCAGCCTCGCCTCCCCCAGACTTGCCTCTCCATCCCCGACATCAAGACTGTGTTCAGCGACTGCGCCTCCAAGATCGGCAGGCGCGACTGCCTGACCCAGGCCTGCTCGGCCCTCACGGGGTGAGTGGGGCTTGCCCTGGGCGCCGGGGGCCACGGCTGGCCCCGCCTCACACCCACTGTCTCCACAGTAAGGGGGTGCGCGAGGGCATCGAGTGGATGGTGAAGTGCGTCGTGCGGAACGTGCACCGGCCGCCGCGGCAGCGGGACATCACATAGGCGCAGCCGGCCCAGGGCGCCTGCCGCTTGTCCTGAAGAGCTCCTGCTGATTCCGCTGCTGATCCCCCCGGGGGCTGGGTTGGCTTTGCCTTGTGGTGGTTCTACTTGCTTTGTTTTTCTTCTAAGACAAACTTTTCTTTGTATCCAGAAAAGCGTAGGCATCCGGAGGCTTCTTCTGCCGAGGGGAGCTGGGGTGGCAGGGACCCCACCAGACCCTCACATCGGGCCTGGGCCCCGCCCCCAAGGCCCAGTTTTGGGGTCCCGGGGTGAGGCCTTGGCAGGCCACCACTCCCTTTGGAGCTGCTGCTCCAGCAGGCCTGCCGGCCTGGACCCTCGTGGGGCCTTGTGGGGCAGCTGCTTGGAACTGGGTTTTTCCAGAGGTGTGGGGCCTTTCACAGTGCCCAGGGCTACATCGTGCCCACGGAGGGGGCCGGGGGGCCATGGCTGTCCTCAGCCTCTGTCCCCTCTGATCCTGGAGGCGGACTGGGGGGCTGGTGTCAGCTTCAGGAAGACCTGGGCTTGCCTCCGTCCCTGTCCTGATGCAGCCTCAGGACAGGGCAGGGGAGACCTGCCTGGGAGGCTGTGTGCCCCCTCCACTGGCCCAGCCACCTTGTTTTGATCCCCAGCAAGGACGGTAAAGCTAGGCGGTTGTGCTGGGAGTGGGCATCACCCCACCCCCCACCCCCCGCAAGCCTGCCTGCCACCCACCTAGGATGACCACAGTTACCACTTCTGGGGTGGGCTGGTGGTGTGCTGGGCCTGCGCTTCCAGCTGGCGGTGAAGGGCGGGGTCCCCCTCAGGGCTGGGGTGAGCCATCTAGAAAGCCCTTTCCAGGCCTGTGTCCAGGAGCAGAGGCCCTCCAGGCAAGACTGGTCCTCAGGACCCTCCCACACGGCCCCTGCAGGAGCTGCCAACCCCCCATGAGCCTAGCTGTGGGTGAAATAAAGACAGTTGGAGTGGCTCGTGTCCACTGTTCCTCCAGAGGCCTGGTGGCTTCGTGTCTGAGGGTCACAGTCCCAGCTGCTCTCCCCGATGGGGCCCAGGAGGAGATGCTGGGAAAGGGATGAGTCAGGGCTGGGGCTGGGGACCAGCTGCAGGTGATGTGAGTCATGGGGGAGTGGGGGGCTGTGACTCTGCCTCCCCTGGGGCCCTTCCTGGGGGTCAGGCAGGGGGTTCCGGGGCTGGCAGGGGGCTGCCAGGCCAGGACTGGGAGTTCCCCTGGACTGGTGAGTCAAGCCGTCATCCAAACCTGCCCCAGAAGGGAAAACCGACATTTCCCAGAAAGCGAGTGAGACACGCTGTCCTACCGGGAGGTCTTGGCCGGTCCCTTGCTGGGAAATCCCCTGCTGCTTTGAGGGTGGAGCCCAAAGGAGGGGTAACGAGGGGGACACTTCTCCTGGTGCCCCAGGACACACGGGCTGGCGTGTTGACCACTCCGGGCTGGCTTCTGTTCCACGGTGAGAGCCCAGGGACTGGGCAACCCTCCCTCCACACCATCCTAACCACTGAGAGCACAACTGGGGTGGGGAGGATCACGCAGTGAGGCCTGGGGACGGCTGCCACCCGCTGTCCCCGTCTCCCACAACCCTTCCCCCATCGAGGGTCCGTCCCAGTCGGGGTGGGGAGGGGGGGAAGGCAGCAGGCCGCGCCCGGGCAGCCTGCCCAGGTGTGTCCCCTGCGAGATGTGCCCACTGCGCGCTGGCCAGACACCACACTCGTTTGCCAATCGGCTTTATGAAAAATAAATTTAACGCCACAGGAGCCGGGTCCAAAGCCTCCTTAGGTGCGACTTGCGGGCCGCCCATGCGGGGGGCTCGGGCCGGGAGCGAATAAATAACGGGGAGAGTGCTCAGCGCGTGCGGAGGAAACGCTCGCGGACGCTGCGCTCCAGCCCGCACAACCTGGCCGCGCGCAGCGCCCGCAGCAGCCGCGCCCCCAGCGTCCCGGGCCGCGCCTCTCGGAGCTCCGTGAGCTGCAGCCACAGCCTCCGCCGCAGCGCCGCGCGGTCCTCCCTTTGCGGCGGCGGCGGCGGACTCCGCGCCCTGGGGCCCGCAAGCGCCTGCTGCAGCCGCTGGAGCCTCCTGGGAGAGATGTCCTGGAAAGCTACGAAGTCGACCACGGCGCGCTGGCACTCCTCGGTCCCTGCGGGAGAGAGGGGCGAGGGCGTACCCGACTAGCTGCCACCGCGCCGGGAGCGTCCCTCCGCGTTGCGGAGGGACAGGACCGAGGGATCCCCGCGCACTAACGAGTGGATGAGGCGGGAGCCGTGCTGGAGGAGCCGGGGCGACCGCGGGAAACTCGGCCGGCAAGGAGGCGGGGCTCGTGGGCCGATGCCGGGGGTGGGATGCGACGTGAAGGGGACCCGCCACGTTCGCTGCCGTTCCCTCCCGCAAGCCATTTAAGCCCTCGGAGCCTGCTTCCCAAGGTCGGCGGGAAACGGCATCACCCGCCAGCGCTGACGCCCTCAGCCAACGGCATCCCCTAGGCTGTCCCCACCGCACTTCCGGAAGCCCTTCCCAGGAGCCCACCGAGGCCTCCGCGCCCCCCATCCCGCTCACCCGGTGCCCCCGGCTCCAGCGAGCCGAGCGGGAAGCCCGTGCATTTGGTGCACAGGGCATCGTGGAACGGGGAGCCCGGCACGTTGACGGCCAGGCCCAGGGCCGTGCAGTTGCGGTGGGGCTGGCACCGCTCCGAGCTCGAGCTGCTGGCGGAGAAGGTGCCCGGGGAGCACGGTTGGCACTGCGTGTTCTGGCTGGAGGTGCCTGAGGACGAACGCGGAGGCCGGCGTCAGGAGAGCCGAGTTGGCTCCGTTCGGCGGAGGGCCCGGCGCCGCGGCCCCGCCCTGCACCCACCGGGGGCGACCACGCCTGCGCCGGGCGGGCAGGGCTCGTGCTCCAGGCAGAAGCCGGCGTGCGCGAAGAAGCCGGGCCGACAGCGGCAGGCGCGGTTGTGGGTGGCCCCGCACGGCCGCGCCTCCTCCTCGCGCTCCCCGCAGATGACGTTGCAGTATCGGCAGCGCTCCAGGTAGTTCCAGAACTGCGTGTAGTGGCGCGGCGGGCACGCGCCGCACGTCGTGGGGTTGTCCCGGCCGCAAGGTCGCTGCACGAAGGTGCCCGGGGGGCACTTGTCGCACGCCAGCCACTCCCCCGTCTCCGCGTCCCGCCTCGGGTAGGTCGGCGCGCCCGCCGCCGTCCCCCGCGCCGCAAGCGCCAGCAGCAGGGCCGGTAGCGGCCACAGCAGGGGCCTCATGGTCTCGCTGGAGTGGCAGCGGCCTCCGGGGCCGCGTCCTATAAGGGCTGGCTTGGCCACGCCCCCGCGGAGCCCCGCCCCGCCTGAGGGGAGCGGTCGGCCACCTGGGGGCCCAGGCTTTGACCTCTCCCTCCGCAGAGCCCAGTGCCAGGGCGGTCCCGTGCAGGCCACCAGCACCACGAGCAGCTCCTGACCCCGTTACCAGGCCTGGCAACCGGCGGGTGGAGGGGGTAGCGGCCCCTGCTCTGAACAAACCAGGTGCGAGGGAGGCTGCCCAGGCGCCTTCTTCCTTCCAGGCTCCCCCACCCCACCACCGAGGCCGGGCCACACAGACCGCTTCCCAGCAGTGCCGGCAGCTTTATTAGAACCCTGGCCCCTGAGGAACAAGCAGGTCCCTGGAAGGTCCCCGGGACAGAAGGTGCAGGGCTCCCCTCCTTCCTGCTTGGGCTCCACCCACAGGCTGGCGGTCAGGGAAGTTCTGGGGAAGCACCTTCCAGTGGACCCACCCCAGACCCCAAGGTGGCCTCGGGGCCTCTCACAGGGGGCCCAGATCCTGCAGCCGTCTCAGGGGGCTCCCCACGGACACTGGACTGGCCTCCCCGTCAGGTGCGCTCTCGGCCAAGGGGTTTCTGGTATCAGGCCTGGCCCACCCACAGCCGACAAGCAAGTGTCCAGGCTGCGCCCCAGGCAGGGGCGGCCTCAGCCTCCGCAGACCCTGCAGCGCCCAGAGGGTCTCAACGTTCACTGGGGCTCCGGCCAGAAGACCTGCGTGAGGCTCTGCTTTCTGGTGGCAGCATGGCAGGCCGGGCACGTCCTAGAGACCTGTGGAGAGAAGGCGCTGGACACACCTTCCCAGACCCCACTGCCCACCCCAGCCCCTCAGCCCACCATGTGGGGCAACGCCCAGCAGGCCACGTCCACAGGGGACAGGGCCGGGTCCACAGGGTCTGGCTGCCGACCTGGAGGTGCTGTCGCCAACAGGCCCGGCAGCAGTGGAAGTCGCAGGAGGGACACTGGAAGGGGACCACGTCCTCCGCCCTGCAGCCAGGACACACCAAGCCCACTGCAAGGGGGCTGACGTGAGCGCCACAGGCCTGCTCGGGCTGGGCCCCCACTCCCAATGGTCCCTGCAGCCCCTCCCACGAGACCTACCCCACTCGGACTGTGCCTGCCCGCAGGGGGCACTGGGGGGCCGGCTGGGAGCCCCCGCCGCCCGAGCCGGCCTCTGTGTAAGGAAGGAGAAGCTCTTGCTCTGGGTCTTCCCGGGGGGTTTCTCTGGCAGTGAGGGGCCTGGAAACAGGAGGGAGCGAGTCCGAGGGGTGCCTGGCACTTCCCTGCTGCCCACCTGCCCACCCTGCCAGGGCTGAGGGGGGCTGTGGCAACAGGGCGGCAGGAGCACCAGGCAGGCGGCCCTACCTGTCCCGCGAGCCTCACAGACGAGGTCAGAAGGCGCAGCAGGGCTCCCCTCCCAGGGTCCTGGAGCCTGGGTGCCCAGGTCCACACACGTCTGCCGGAAGCGCTGCTTGTGGTGAGGGCGCACGAACATGCCGAACCCTGCTGGGAGCGCGGAGCATCGCTCAGGCGTGGCCCTGCCGCCCACCCCACTGCCCGCCCCCACCCGCCCCCCACGCGGGCCACTTGCTCTGCAGCAGGGTCAGGTCCTCAGGCTTGGCGGTGGTGAGTGAGGCCACCACAGCCACCACCTTCTCGAAGTCGTCATCCTGCTTGTAAGTGGTCAGCGCCGCCAGGAGCTGGCTGTAGCCTGTGGCCCCCAGGGCCCGGTGGGCATCGGCCAGGTAGGCACTCACAGCGGGCGGGTGCTTCTTTGCTCCGGGGGCTCCGGACCCCTCAGGAGGCCGGCGGCTGGGGTCTCCTGGTGGGAAGGTAACACATCTCAGTCCACCAGCTTCCCAGCAAATCACATTGGCCTCCCCTGCTCTGGGGGCACAGAACCACAGCGGCTCCCAGGAGACTCCTCCCCGCCAGGGTCTTCCCTCTGCTCCTGGCTCTGGTCCAAAGCCTCTTCAGAGACCAGGTACCTGCAGGGAGCAGCCCGGAGGCCAGGTGGGGCCGGCCCTGGTTCAGGTGTTCGCAGGGGTCCAGCTGCCTGGCTGCACCCTGGGACACGGTCAGCTTGGGGTCAGGCTCCCTCCTTCCTGAAGAAACACGGAGACAAGGAGGCGCCCAGCTGGTCCCTGAGGGTCCAGAGCATGACCAGGGAGGGGACGGGTCTGTCCAAGGGGAGACCGGGCCTCAAACTCTCCTCAGACAACCGCTGGAGGCCCCCGACAGGAGGGAGCAGGCAGGCCTCCTCCCCTGCCTTAAACGGGGGGCAGGAAAGTGGGGGGCAGGCACAAGGACACCCCAATCCAGAAGGGAGCAGAAGGGTGACTTAGGCAGGAATCTCCAACCCCAGGGGCCCCGTGATTCCTGTCCTTGGGGAAGTCTCATCCAGAGATGGGCTCTTCCTTAATAAATGGGGACAGCAACTCCCAGGCTCTAGACGTGCAGGGCCCACTCCAGGTAGAGACGGGGGTGGACGGGGCTCCAGGACCCCTGTGCATACACGACTCCCCAGGCGCAGGTCCTCCTCGGAGGCCCGGGCCATGTGTGTTCTGGGGGCCCACACCTCCCCAAAGTGGGGCCCCCCGCACGGATCTGTCAGCCTCAGGAACAGGGAGGCTGGGCCACATGAAGACCCACTCCAAGGGCCAGGTGCCACCCACCCTCAGGGTCTGAGTTTGAGGGTCCCACCCAGGCAGGGCCCGCCTCACCGCTGGGGTCCAGGGCCGGTCGTGCTCCCTGCCTCCAGGGAAGGCCATGCTCGGGCCGGGAGCTGCAGCCTCGGCCCGTCAGTTGGCAGCAGACCTCCTCAAACTGCTGCTTGTGGTGGGGCCGCACGAACTGATAGAAGCCTGTGGGGAGGGGCGGGGTCTGGGCCTGCAGCCACCACACGGGGTCCCCACCGACACCTCTGCAGGTCAACCGGGGACCCTGGTGGCCCCCAGGCTGGGACCCTCAAGTGGGCAGCCTCTACTGGCCAAGGCACCTCGGAGCAGGCTGTGCTTCTTGGGGTCCTCGGCAAAGAGGGGGCCAAGGTGAGCGGCCAGGGCCGCGAGGTCATCGGTGCTCTTGTACTCCCGCAGGGCCCGGGTAAAGGTGTCAAAGCTGGCCTGGCTCAGCGCCTGCTTCACGGCTGCCATGAACAGCTTGGCCCTGCCTGTGTCCGCGCCGGCTTCTGGCCCCTCCTGCGACACACAGCCGGTGCCCGTCAGGAGGCGCCAACGCTCCCCATCTGCGGGGGGCAGCGAGCTGCCGTTGGGGGCTGCTGGGGAGGATGCTTAGCTGGCCTGGCCCAGCTGGCAGGGGACCCCCCGGCTAGCTTCAGCTTAGATGG